GGTCCTGGCCCTTTGTAGCTGTCCTCCTGGCTATGGGGTAATAAAAAGACAGCACAGGGCATGAAGCAGGTGCTTTCCTGATAGCAGGCCCTGGCCACATCCTCCCACGTCCACCTCTTGGTTGCCCTGTGACGATTTGCTGCTGCACTTAAAGGGAGAAACGGGGGAAAGTGAATTTACACAAATGTGTCTCAGAACTAGAAATATATTAATATATATTTAAATATATACTTAAATATATTGATACACTTGTTCACAGAGTTCACTTTTACATGGGTGGTGAAAATTAAACTAGAACTTAAAGGCTGAAATATTATATTTTGTTCTCTCTTAAATTTATGTGCTAAATATCTTCAATGTTCTGATGACTTCTGATTCTTATAAATTAAAGGCCCAGATCTGGTGTACATAAAACAACTCTCGTCATTGGGCACGACTAGACACAACCTTACTACCAGGTGGAGGTTTCTTCCCAAGTCCCTGGGGTCCCAAACAGAGAACTGGACGGGACACACAGAAAGGACTGTGAGTTGCACATACACTGGAGGGAAAAAGAAGTTTGCTCTGCAGAGTGGGAGCAGTCAGGTGCAAAGGCTTACAGTGGCCCTGAGGATAAGGGACGAGTGACTTGTACCTGAAGTTCCTGGGCTACCTCCCTCCCTCCCTCCCAGACAAGGCATCGGGACAGTCCTTTGGTGTCACTCATTTGGTGTCAAGCCACTTGTAAACTCTTTCATCGAACATCGGCCTGGCCGCCGGAGGTGTGAAAATGAAAAATGGGGCCGGGGATTTAGCTCGGTGGCTCTGTGCCTGCCTCAAAAGCACAAGGTCCTGATTTCAATCCCCTGGTATCCGAGGGGAGAAAGAGAAAGAAAGAAGAATGAAGAATGCAAATGAAGGATTGAAAAGAGCATCTCTGACTGGACCTGTGCACAGCACTAGATTCAAGTGAAGAATTATAAACCGTGCTTTTCCGATTGATTCTCCATTGTGATGGTGGTGTCCCTGTACTGCGATGTCGGTGCCTGACAGCATCCCTCACCCTGTTCCCTGGTCTTGGCCTGGGCATACGAGATGCACCAGACTTCCTGGAGTTATCAGACTGAATCCAAGCCGTACACACTGTAAAGGTGAGGCAGTTCAGCCCACAGCACAGCACACGGGCCTGTCACTTCCCAAGAACCTCTGGGCTTCTTGTCATGGCCTCAGCCATAGAAATGGCCAGGTGCTGAAGTCTTGCTGTCCCCGCACTCAGTGAGCACAACCCTCCCTGCCATCCACCCTGCCAACCTCAACCCTCTGTGGACCTTTGGCCTTGATGTCCCTGTGTCAGGTGCATTAAGCCTGTCCCTGACCTCCTGTCATTCAGGGATCCCCTAGGGCAGGAACCTATGGCACACACGCAGCACAGGGCTGCTTGTATATCAATGCTCTAAGGGGTTCGCCATCACCTCCCTAGGGCCTCAACCACTTTCAACCTTTGTAATTTAATGTAATTCATTGAAGTGTGTTGTGTGATTTGAGTGTTACAGATCCTAGTAATTAAGATTGAAATGGAATAAAAACTTTGCAATCACCAGTCATGACTCCAAGTGATACAGGAGCACTAATGAAATAAAGCCAATTAAACTGATGTAGCTTGAGGACCTACTGGCGTTCAACAGATTTTGGCATTGTGGAAAGGCTCACGTATGACAGTCTTTTATTGATCGACCTCGCTTGGCAGCATGTATGTGTATATGCACACACAGTTCTGGATGAATGGACTTTGGAAGCAAGGTGAGGTGGGATCTTGCATAGAAATCCAAGAGGAAACTGGGGTGCACTCATTAGCTGTGAGTGGACATGTTCTGAGGCATTGTCCAGTTTGATTCTGAACCGCAGAGCATCCGGCCGAAGCTCTGCTCTCCGCTCCAAGCCAGAGCCGCCCTCCACTGCGGGAGAGGTGTCTGCATCTCCTGCACAGGTCTCACCTCCACGTAGGTTTGCTGAGTTTGTTCTGACTGCGGAAACTTTAGAAGTTGTGTCCACTAGATGTTGCTAGCAAGATGTTCTTCATCAGACTTTGATTGCTTTTGGAGCTGTTTTTTGGGTGAGAGCACATCCCAGAAAGGAGCTGTAGTTTGATGAGATTTGTTCAGAATTTTAGGAAAGAATCCCTGTGTTTTCAGAATTGAATTCCTCACAAAGGAATATCAGGCGATGCTTTTCTTTTACTGAATATATCAGTTGCAAGTTGCCCTCCCACAGAGAGGCTCCTTCCTCCTGGCTCTTCCTTTGGCTCTACTTTTCCCTAAGCACGGCTAGATTTCCCTTAGAAACTCCACTAGCACAACCTATTACAGAATGACACTTACTCTCGTGTGGTAATTAGCTCTCTTTTTCTACTATTCAGATAGTTACCAAGATAAAGAAGAATATCCCAAACAATATAATAATAGGGTATAATGGAAACAAAGCTTTTATACATAGGGAGGGGCAAGGGCCTGGGGGGATGCAACAAAATAAAATTTATTTTAAAAATTACAGGATGTGTAGGAGAGGAACATCCTGAGGCACCATATCCTCAGGACCGGTCTGTGGCAGTTGTGGCTGCTGGTTTTGTCGAGGTCCCAAAGAAGGGAGCTGGCTGTGTAACCAACTGTGTTGTCTGAATCTGATGGGACCTTGGCTGACCAAGGCTACTAGGACGACCGTTGTGTAGAGCCTCAGCACAAGTGAGTCCTTCAGGCAATACCCGCCCTGAAATATAACATTTTCCTTGAGGAAATCGCTGAATAGTTTTGCAGTGTGGCGATAGGAGCCTGTGATATTCCAGGGGCTGGGATGCCATTAGAGCTTCTAGTGTCTGTTCTGTGCATTTCTGCTGTTCTTTTGATGCTGTTCTGCAGTGCCCATTTTCACGTTATCAGCACGACTTAGCGCCTCTATCAAATCATTTTCTTCCCTTGTTTTGTGGCTTGCACTTTTCCTCTTTTAATGCCATAATTTTTCTGAACAGAAATTCTCAATTCTCCAAAAGCTCAATGGCATAAAAAACAAGTAACCTGATTAAAAAATGGGTAATAGACATAAGGAAACATTTCCCCCAAAAAAGGCATACAAATGACAAATAGGTATATGAAAAAGTGCTCAACACCGTTAATTTTCAGGGAAGTATAAATCAAAACCACAATGAGATATCATCTCGTCACAGCAAGAATGACTGTTATCAAAAAGACTAAGGAGAGGGCCGGGAATTTAGCTCAGCGGTTTGGTGGCCAGCCTTGCAAGTGCAAAGACCCGAGTTTAATCCTTGGTATCCTCCCCCCAAAATCTGTTATCAAAAAGACTAAGGAGAGGGCCGGGAATTTAGCTCAGCGGTTTGGTGGCCAGCCTTGCAAGTGCAAAGACCCGAGTTTAATCCTTGGTATCCTGCCCCCCCAAAAAAACAGACTAAGGATAACAAGTTCCAGGGAGGACGTGGAGAAATGGAACCCTCCTCAGTGTTGGTGGGAATGGGTATGTAGTCAGTGCAGCCAGTATAGAAAATAGTATGGGGGAGGCCTCAAAAAATTAAAACTAGAACCGCCACGGGATCCGTCACTACTACTGCTAGGTATATATCAGAAGGAAAGGAGATCATGATGTCAGAGAAACATCTGCGCTCCTATGTTCACTGCAGTGCTGTTTACAAACCCATGAAACGGAAGCAGCCCAAGTGTTCATTCCCGGTTAATGGGTAAAGAAAACGTGGCTGGCACATGTAGTAGTCAGCATTTCCATTGATGAGACACAATGCCCGACACCACAACTTGGACAAGGAACGGTTTAATGCCACTCACATTTCAGGAGTTCCAGTAGATGCTCTGTTTCGCAGAGGCGGAGAAACCAGGGTGGGAGGGATCAGCTCAGTGTTGGGAACAGAGCAGGGGACAGTGCCAGGGAGGTATGGGTGAGGACCACGCACAGCACCCAAGGTCGTGCCTCCCTGACCACCCAGACACAGCCGGAGTGTGCTTTGTGGACGTCCTAGACGGTTCTCAGCCCAGGGAAGTTGACAAGTCAGGATTAATAGTTATAGTACAGACACAGCTCAGTACGATTCAGCTATGAGAAGCATTAAACCCTGTAGTTTGCAGAGACAGGATGGAGCTGGAGATCATTATGAAGCAGGTCACGCACAGCAAGGGGCGTTGCACGATCTCACTCGTGGCATCTAAGACAGTGGGTCTCCTAGAAGTGGAGAGTGGAACAGTGACCACCAGCACCCTGGTGTGCACCGCCCCACCGTGGTTGGCTGAGCTGCGCGCTCATCTGCACATGGCCTGAGAATTTGCAGACTTCTCATGGACACTGTGAGTGTAAGGAAGGGTGGCAGTGAACACTGAAATGACCAAGGCTGGGCACTGTTCTCGGGGCTCAGTCTGGCTCATCTTCAATGCTTTTGCCGGTGCAGGAGGCCTGAAGCTGGAGCCTGAGGACCCACACGTTAATGGGGTCTGTCAGGAGTCACGGCTGTGCTTCTAGGCTGAGGCACTGGTGGGTCCTGTGGGGTCTCAAATGCACACACCTCATGCCATGCAGGCGGACCCAGCTTGACCAGTCTTGAACTTCTCCAAGCCTCAGAGTGGAGCAAACCCCGGAATGGTTCAAAGGCTGAATGAGTCACTTATTGAGCTCAAGCGACTATGGCACCTTCCACAGATAAGGGATCTGAAACACCACCGGCCAGCGCCTTGGTGCTCTTCCATCCACAAGGCTTAACCCAAATCCTAGGTGTTGGGGAGGTCGCAGGGGAAGAACCCGTGCCTTGGGTGGAGATTGTGTCTGTGTATTTCAGCCTGTGTCCGCTGATGACCTGAGAGGTCAAACCCTGCAGTGCAGAGAATGACAAGTGTGTCAGGAAGGGACATAGCACACAGCGGCCCCACTGGTGCAGAACAGCAGGGCAGAAAAGCTTTGAAAAATTTAAACAGGAGACAGGCTGAGTGGGAGGGAGGGCAAGCCCGTGACTTCAACACTGAGATTTGGACCATGACTCAGTCCCAACTGCAACTGCCTTTTGCATATTCGTGAATCACCGTCACCTCCCTCTTCCTAGCAGCTGGCAAGTTCCCTTAAACATGTGGGATTTCATTGAGTGAGTCAGCTCTGCCCTCCATCTGCTTCTTTCTTCTCCATGGAGGGAAATGTTTTCCCAGCTCCCTCCTGTGACCCTAGCGGCCCTCAGGACTCACCAGGAAATCCTCAGGTGGAGAGCAGAGAACCAGGAAGTAAGGCCCTGAGGGAGGCAGAAGAGAGTGCCTGGAGTGAAAGTGAAAGACAGCGCCTCAGGAGCCTCCAGCCTCGGCTGCGCTGTGGCTGTGGCTGTGGCTGCAGTGATTTTCTCCTGGACAGACACAACCTGACACCCGACCCTGGCGGTAGCTGGGCGCCAGGAAAGGCTGCCGGAGGTGAGTGGCTGGCGTCCAGAAAGCCTCTTCCTCCGGACCTCAGGACACCCAGGCGTCCTCCTCTGGCATCACCTGAGGCAGCGGGGACTCTATCTTGGCCTCCTGAACCCCAGCTAGACCTGGCCATATGGCCAGGCTGCACCCTGGGTCTCCTTCCTCTGCTACCACTGGCTCTGGGCTGGGCCGGACTCTGGGGAGTCAGGAAACTTCCTTTATCTGCCTGCGCTTGCTGTCTTTCTCGTTTGGCTCTGGACAAGGGCTGAGTTAATTGTTCTGTGAGGCCTCCCTGGCCCCCTGCCCCTCACCTGTTCCCACCATGTCTTCCACTCTTCTGTCCCTCTGCCCCCACCGTACTCTCCTCAAGGACAGCTGTCCCGGGGTTTTGAGGTGTGCACCCGGACTTGTGTGACTGTAAACAGTTCTGTGTGATGTGCCCATACTATTCTTAAGCCTGTGACCCTGGGAAGTGGTTCTTTGTGCCTCTGTTTCCCCTTGTTCAGTGGGATTAATGATTCCTCCTCAGGCGTGCTGAGGGCTGTGGAGATAACACTTGCAAACTACTCTCAACAGCGACTGGCTCTGCTAGGTGCCCAGGATAATAGTTGTTAGCAATTATTATCACACGCTAACTCTAGTTTTATTATATTTTGCTCATTATGTTTCCCACTTAAAAATTATAAACACTCTACTCCTTAAATTTGGTTTACCAGGCCAGGTCCCAGTTTCAAACCAGGCCATCACGGTACATGATGCACAGTTTATTTTTTAAGTCTTTCTTTGATTGTCACAGAGTCACTGGTTGTCATCACAGGGTGCAGTGTGATGACGCCATGAATGTGTATAATGATCACATCAGGGTAACAGGCACTTCATCTCCAACAAAGCCTTCTAAGGACAGTAAAGGACTTGCTGTGTTCGGAGCCCTGAGGGTTGCTGGTCACGGCTCCTGTGGATGCTTGATCTTTCTGAGCCCACCTGGTCCAACTTGAAAGTCTTTGCGAACCCGGTCGGGATAAGGTGAGTTATCTCGAGCTTACTTTGCGTGTCTTAGGGCGCTGATGCACTTGAGGGGGCTATGCCACTTGAGGATCTGGGAAGGGAACTCTGACATTCTCAGCTCGGCAGAGCTTCTCTCAGAGTCACTGGCAGGCAGTCTTTGCAGTCTGACGCTGTCCCTCACAGGTAGGCCCCGTGGGTGCAGCCGTGAAAACTGCATCACTGCACCCAGGAAGCTCACAGCCTAGGACAGGAAGTTGCCACCAACAAAGGGTCGAGTGGGGTGGAGGCTGCAGGAAGTCAGGAAATGTTTCCTGAGGCGGGCTTAGCCGCGGGCTGGGTTTCATTCTGCTAGGTGGTGTTGGTCCAACACTCCAGGTGGGAGCACATGCTAGTGAAGGGCCTGGTGCTGTGAGGTTGCCTCTGCGAGCCCTCCTGGGTTAGGGGCCTTCTCACACTCTGAGGTGGGCCCTGGGCCCTGAAAGCTGGTATCCTGTACAGGGAAACAGGAAAGGCAGCTTCACAGTGCCAGGGGGGCTTGGCTTCCTTTCTCTACTGTTAACGTGCGTGTGAGTGTGAGTGTGTGTGTGTGCGCGTGGGTGACTGCCTGCCTGTGTTCGCAGCTGTGCTCCCAGGACAGATGGCGGGAGAGGTCTTTGACGTTGTGCTGTGGGTGAGAGTGGCATCTGAGCCGTGAGGATGGACAGCAGGCTTGGGGCAGACTCCCTGGCAGCAGGAGGACCTCTGGGAGAGCTCAGTCAGTAGCCACTGAAGGAGAAACTCAGTCCCCAAGATGGTTAACCCTCCAAATCTTTGAGATCCTGGAATATGAAAAGAAAGCATTCTTGGTTGTCCTCCAGTCCAAAATTCTCACTTGGAATGAGGAAATGAGGCCTGCACCGTAAAATGATTCATCCCTATTCATGTAGCTGGAGCCAGGATCCAGCACCCTGCCCTGAACCCCATGCTCCTTTGGGCCCCTGCACCCCTTGGGTCCCCTGTACCCCTTGGACCTCACACCCGCCCAGCCTCTTCTTGGTGCTGGAGAAGGAGCCAGTGCACCTCCAGCCTTTCGAGGTGAGCCCTCCTCTTCCTGTGTGACTCATAAGTTTCGAAAGCAGGAAGTTCATAAGCTCAGCTTTTGTGCTGCTTTTGCTCATCTCCAGCGAGAGAGGACTCTTCCTCGTCCCTGTCCTCCTCAGAAAGAAGGGACTTGGTAGCTGAGGCTCTGGAATTTGTCTCTGGTAAGGTCTGCTGGGCCTCTGGTTCTAGAACTCTCCAGGAGCCAAGTGGTCTGGAGGCCACATGGCCTGGATGGCCGGTGCTTGGGTGTGGCGGGGAGACTGGCACTGAGTTGTGGGATTCACAGTCACCGCTACCCCCACCCAATTCAGAGGGGCAGTGCAGCCTTTCAGCTCTACACAAGGCCTTTCCCTGTCTCCGCCCTACTGGTCAGAGTAGAGGGCAGCAGTAAATCTCAGCTCTCCTGTACACACACACACACACACACACGCACACACACACCAGCACACATTCAGTCTTAGCAATTCAGTCCAGTTATTTATGGTAGAATTAGAAGATAAGGTACAGTCTAGTGCGTCTGAGGAGAAGCTCAGGGGCCCGCTTGTAGGGTGCAGTGCATCCTTTGGGGAGACCTGGGGGTGGCTACAGCGTGTGCACCGAGGGCTGCATGGCCAGCTGCACCTGTGGTGCCCAGGATGCGCGGCCCCAAGCGGGTCCTGCGAGGGTCTGCGGCCCACAGGTGGCAGGGCCCAGACAGTCCGCCAGCGCCGACACTTCCGGTCTGTCCTCCTGCTTTGTGATGGGTCTCGCTTCTTGTGATTTTAACCAGTAAGTGCACCGTGATTCTTTGAGGGTTTTGCTTTTCTCACTTTGCTCCAACTGTCATCCCAGTAGTCTAAACCCCCAGGCGCCTGCTGGAGCCTGGCCCTGCGGGATGTCTCCTGGGCTGAGGTCGGGCTGGAGTTGGCGCGGCAGTTCCTTCAGAGGACTGACTAAAATGAGGAAGAAAAATGTTATGTTTACATGGATAACCAGGTGTACACTTGGCTTTAATTTATTTGTATCTAAATATTTGGGGCATAAATATATAAAATCAATATATAGAACATCAAAATATAAAAAATAAATACATAAAATAAATAAAATATCAAATGTATATTATGTAACGCAAATATATTTACTTAGATGTTATAAAATATGTATGCATAATGTGGTAAAATATTTAATTCTTTGTTTTATGCTTTCGCTTATCTGCGTGAGTGTAAATAAATTTGGGGTTAAAGCAACAAATATGACCAGAGAATTACTTTTGAATAACAAGATTTAGGAGTGATTTTTCTTTTTCCTTTCATATTTTTTTGCACTTTCTTTGTAGAACAAATGTTACTCTTGCTGTTTTTAGGAGCGATAAAATATAACAACAGACATTTTTTCAAAAAAATGATTATTTTTGAGTACTGGGGAATTAAACCTAGGGCCTCATGTACAGTGGCTAAGCACATTATCCTTTAGCTACATTCCTAGCCCTTTAAAAAAAGTATTTTGAGAGAGAGTCTCTCTAAGGTACCCATATTGACCTAGCTTGTGATACTTCTGCCTCAGCCTCCTGAATATCTGGGATTACAGGTGTGCACCACCAAAGCTGTACCCATGTGTTAATGCTCAGAATCCAGGTCTGGTCAAACAAGGACATGGTGTCGTCCCCCTAGCCAGGTGGCCTGCAGTGTGCCTGTTCTTAGCAGTGTCAGAAATCCAGTGCAAGTGACCGCTTCCAGGTGCTGACGTGAGAGATGTGTGGCTGAGATGAAAAATGAAAACCCAGAGACTGTCACGTGTGTGGCGTGGCCTGGAAAACCAGCTTCCTCTCTGGGCGCCCACATTTTCCCTCTGAGGGTGACTGTGACTTCATGGGAATCACTTCAGAAGCGTCTCACAGTACTTCAGACAACGCCACGAGCTGCAGTGGCCACAGCCACCGAGAGCCAAGCGCAGGCGTCCCTGCCTGGTGTGGGAGTGGTGTGGAACTGGTCAGAAGCGCAGTTATTCAGGGACAGGTGGCTCCAGAGGGCTTGTTCCTTTTCTGACCCAGTACTATCACTTCCAGAAAATTATTCTAAGAAAATAATCAGAGATATATGAAGAGATTTGCGTTTTAGGATTATCCTAAATGAGATAAGGAACTGTCTATGTAGATTAAGGTTCATCTGCATAGTGAACGATTTCTAGGTTTTAAAATCCAGGTTGTAGGAGAAAAACTAAAGGCATCAAGATGTACTTACAATATTATTAGTGGAAAATCCACTTATACTACAAAAATATGATGTGTTCAAATACAAGGGAGAATATATACCCATAAAATATATGATAGGAAAGGTTAAAATATTGCTAGGTGTTTGTCTTTGCATGATAGAGTCACAAGTAAATTTACTTTCCTTTATGTTATTTCTGTGTTCTCTAAAATGAATGTGATAATTGCTACCATGAGGAAACATATTCATGGAGAGAACAGAGGAGGTTTTGCTTCCATTTGATTCTTTGGTGGATTTTATTTTGTGAAACAAGACTAACAGAGGCAAAAACTGATTTAAAATTTTAAGGGTGGTTGACCTAATGCAACTAAAAAGGGCTGGAACTAGTTTAGACTCTTCGCTGTACTGCATATAAATGAAAATGAACCGTGGAGATTTTAATTTAGGTATACATGCATTTAGAATGAGTAATACGGCCACTGGTGAAAACTGCAACCAGACAGAAGTGTGTGAAGGCTGAGAACCTGCAGTGGCTCACTCTAACTTCCCGCCTCCTCCGGTCTGGCCAGGCCCATAGTCCCGCCATCCTGGGTCCCATCTTGGCAGTTTACTGGGAGTCAGGAATACAGAAATCCACAAATATTGTGACCACGCCAGTCAATTCACTGCACTGGTCACAGCTGCACCAACCACAGGGATCTTCCCATCCTTTTTGTAGCCCAGAACCAGGGATCAAACTCAGGACCTTGCACTTGCCAGGCAGGCGCTGGTGCCACTGAGCTAAATCTCTGGCCCTGATAATGCTCTTTTGCTATTCCAAGCAATGTGTCCTGAATATCTTTCTACATACTTTGATTATACTTTCTTTTAAGTGAATATAGGAAAACCCCCTGGAAATTGGAACATGGGTCCAAATTCACTTATATTTCAGGAGAAAGAGAGGGAGAGGGAGAGCCAAACTACCCACCAACCTGTCCTTAGATCCACTACCTTACAGCATTGTATTTTAATTTTTGTATTTTGCCAATTTGGCAGTTATTAATGGTCCTTTGTTATAATTCCAGTTTGCCTTTTTTCTTCTTATAAATGAAATTAAGGATCTTTTCAAATGTTTAAAATGATTGTTTTGAAAATATAAAGCCAGAGATACTTTTCTCTGAGCTGTCTGCTTGTGGTCCCTCCTGTTTATATATTGGGTTGCTGTTCTTTCTCTAGTTTTTTTTTTAATTGACTTATGTGAAGTTTACTTTAAGAAAAGTAACTCCTTCCCCTTTAGAAATCATAATTTAGAAAATATATAATATAATATAATTTAGAAATATAATAATAAAATATTTTTTTTAATATAATAATAAAATATAATATAGAAAATATAGAAATATTATATAGAAAATATATAATAAAATATAATTTAGAAAATTATATATCACTGGTATTTCCCACTACAAATTTCATTTATTTTTAAAATCTTTTCAGGTATTTCTGCAGAAAATCTTACTTGGGGTATAAGGACAGTATCAATATTTTCTTTAATGCCTTTCAGACTTTCTGTTGTATTTACAGAAGTTTTTTACCACTGCTAGAGTACTTGAAAAACTGTCTTATGTTTTTTCTTAGAACTTCTTAACGGTTCAGATCTTTGCTGTCTGCAGTCTGTTTTGGTGTAGATGCTCTGTTAGGAGCCATTTCAGTTTGTTGGAAAAGCTGGCCCACTGTTCCAACACTTGTGTGGGAGGAGTGTCCTCAGGGTGTGAGTTCTTTTTGCAGCTTGCTTGTTTTGGGCTGTTCTTCATAGTTAATGTCTAACGTCATTGCTTTCCAAGCACAGACTATGGGTCCTGTTATTTCTGCTTTTGGGAAATACATGCAGGTTTTCTTTGTGGTTGATCCACGGTTACTTCACACGTGTTTGCGAAGCCTGAGCATGTTCTCCCGAGGGTCGTGTGTTGGGTCAGACCTGTCAACAGTGATGCTCACACTCCCCTTGGTTTTCTTTCCGTTTAGGCTACTAGAGGTGCTAGTTTTTGAGGGATGTGTGAAAGTTTCTGGTATTTTGGGGAAGAAAAATTTTCAGTTCTCTTCAGCTCTTAAGGATGGTGCCTCTCCTGCCCTTTGCCTCCTCAGCTGGCCGAGGCCCCTGAGTCCACTTCTTACCCATGTGACAGTGCACTAGACCAGTGTTTTCCTCTGCCAGGTGGAACCTGTGGTGTTTTCCCTACAGTCGGGACAGGAAAGGCAGGCTCCTGCTCCTTCACCCGCGTCTGGGTCTCTTCCACAGCCCGGATGGCCTCAGGACTGGCAGCACCTCCTTAATTTCATTTTCTGCATGAGCATGCGTATCTGTAGCCTCTGGTAGTCCATTGTACTGTTTTGATTTTTTTTTTTTTTTTGGTACTGGGAATTGAACTCGGGACCTTGGGCTTGCAAGCCAGGCGATGGCACCACTGAGCTAAATCCCTGGCCCTGATTTGAATATTGTTTGAGGTGGGTGGTGTGGGCTGTTCCGTGGTGAGCTGTTTCTCTCACCCTGTGGTTGGTCTTGGATGTCCATCTGCTTCTGTCTAGGAAGTGGAGTGTTTTCTCCTCCGTGCCCTGGGCTCCTCTCAGGTGTCTGCATCTGGCCACGCCTGTCGGGGTGCAGCTGGTTGTTCCAAGTCAGCACACACTGTGCTCGAGGCTCTGCAGATGCCCCGCACTTCAGGTGAAAGCTGACCAGTTGTTCCCTCGTGTGCAGCCGTTGTCTGTTGTCCTTTGGACATGAGCTGTTAGGTGCTGAGGAAGCTCTAGGTCGCACAGACTTTGTGCACCTAGCGTGATGTGTAGCCTCTCAGCTCCTAAATAAGAAAACTTGTCTAAACAATAATGTAAGCTCAGAGTGAAAGAGAAAAAGGGTTTGCTTCATGTCTCAATTCTAGCAATTTACTTTAAGGAAATAATTGGGGATATGTGCGCTGCAATATTATTATTATTATTTACTTAATTTTTTTGGTACCAGGGATGGAGCTCATGACTTTGTGCTTGCGAGGCAGGTGCAGTACCACTGAGCTAAATCCCCGGCCTACAATATTATTTTTGATGGTAAAATCATAGAAGATTGCTTCAATAAGCTTTGATATATTTGCATGTGTAAATCAAGAAAATTAAAGACGTGCCATGGAACAATGTTTACTGGTGGGGGGTAAATGCTCATTATCAGTGGAAAATCCCAACAGGTGCACAGGCACCCGTGTGTATACCCTGGGTTCCAACGTGGTGTCAGTTAGGGTTAGTAGTTGTGTGTGTGTGATAATGGTTAACTGTGTCCATTTTCTAGTGCACTGTATTTTCAGTTTTCACACAAAAATAACTGCTACTTCAACCAAAAAGGAGAAAAGGTATTTTTGAAAGGGAAAAATAAGTTTTCAAAGTGTTTGAAGCCACTTAAAAGTATTAACTCTTATTCTAAGGTGCAAACTGAAGGTATTTTTTTCCACCCAATGTAGAAAGCACATGGATCCTGGATCACCTGGTCATGGCTTGAGCAATAGGGTCAGGGTTGGTGTTTTCATCCGTGAAGGTTGGAGGATGCAGGGGTGTGAAGACGCAGGCTCCACCCATCATGGTGCAGGGTAGAAACAGGCCCAAGGCTAAGGTTGTTTAGGACTAAGTGCGGTGCCCAAAGGTGACGTGTGCCAACCAATTTCCTCTCCCCGAAAAGGAGGCAGGTCCTGGATAGTTCAGAAATGGTGGAGCTGGGAGGATCTGGGAGGTCCTCCCTGGCGCTGTCCTTGGGTTGCCTCGAGGATGTCCAGGCCCCTGGGACAGTGGGAGCGGGAGAGACTTGCTGGGCCCGTGCCCCGGCTTCAGCAGATACTTGCCAGCCGGGGAAATTATTCCAGAGTCACCACAGCAGGCATTTTGTAGAGCCACGACGACTTTAGAGTCGGGTGTTCTTCTGACACACTTTCCAGTGGAGAAGCTGAGGCTCTGAGGATGTGAGCGGCCCAAGGCAGGGTGGTCAGTGTCATGGCCAGTGCTGACCTGCGTGGAGCTGGCTTCTGTCCAATAGGTTGCCATACAAACTTGGCTTCATCCACTGTGAGCCCAGCGGGCAGCACAGGAGGGTGGAAGATGAGCCCGAGGGCTCAGGATAGAGGCTGCTGCTTGAAGTGGGGGTTCCTGCAACATGACTCCTGTTCAAGCACTGACATGGGAAAGCACCCCTAAGCCCGCCTTAGAGACACGAGGCCGGAAGGGCCTTCAGGGTTCTGGCCCCTTTCCCGCCTGGGCATCCTGACCAGCACAGGTCCTGAGGCCTTCATGGCAGGCGTGGTCCGGGCCTCCCTGCACCGTGGTTTGGGTCTGACTCTAGCACACCTGCCCTCTACCGCGGCACACCATGCCAGCATAAGTCCGGGAGGTCCCTGGCCTCCAGCGCTTCTGAGCCGTCCTCCAGCTTTAAATGTCAGTCCCGGATCCACAGCATCATTCGCACTTGTACATCCTCTCTCTGTTCCCCATCCCCTCTGGGAGGAAGCCAGAGCCCCTCACCCCACGGCGTGTGGCCCTGTGACCGGTCCCCACTCTCCAGCCCAGACCCTTTGTGTTTACTGCTCCGAATGCCTCGTGTCTGTCTGAATTGTCCATGAAGTTCTCACTTCCATCTTCTTAATTTTTAATTTTTTTGAGACAAGATCTCACTATGCAGCCCAAGCTGGCCTTGAACTCCAGCAATCCTCCTGCCTCAGCCTCCTGAATGCTGGGATTACAAGCATGTAGCTATGCCTGACCTCACCTTTGTCTTCTGCAGAAGTTTTTCCTTGGAGTACTGTCCTACCTGGCCCAGGTCCCTTCCCTCCAGGAAGCCCTGCCCTGGGCGAACCGGGGCCCCTGGCTCTCTGTCCCTGGTGCTGACTCTGACAGTGGTCTTTGCATGTCCACCTCCCTGAATATCTTTTCTGTGAGCAGGAACTCTCTCTGCTTTGTCTGCTCCTCTCCTCCCTGTGTCCACAGCACATGGCAGAGCCAGTCCCATTTGATAAGGGACAAGCCAATGGGCAGCACTGTCCTTCCTCTCCTGAACACAGCACTGTGTCTTGGCCTAGGTTGCAACTGTGTTCTGCTACCTCTTGAGAAGCATGGACTTCAGCACGTGCCTTTACAGTATCGGGGAGCAGCTGGACAGTGATGAGCTGGCCTCCCTCAAGTTCCTGAGCCTGGGCCACATCCCACAGCGGAAGCAGGAGTCCATCACAGATGCCTGGATGCTGTTCCAGAGGCTCCAGGAGAAGAGGGTGCTGGAGGAAGGCAACTTGTCCTTCCTGAAGGAGCTGCTTTTCCAAATCAACAGGATGGACCTGCTGGCCACCTACCTGAGCACTACCAGGGAGGAGATGAAGGAGCAGCTCCAGACCCCCGGCCAGGCCCAGATCTCCTCCTACAGGTGAGTGATAACTCTGATGGACACAGCTTGCAGCCTGGCCCCTTGGGGCTGTCTGTGGTGCGACCAGCGAACATGTCCCACCAGGGCCAGGTGAAGCAACACAGGGCGTTATATATAATACAGAGAAAAATGCTACACCCATAGGATAAAATTTATTTTTCAAAGTGAAATATTACCTACCAGTAGGCTGAAATTAAAGCAGAGTTTCTCTGCTGTTCTCATTACCTCCCTCTGTCCTTCGTCCCTTGCATCTTCCGATGCCCGCCCCCCTGCCCCTGTGCTGTCTGCTGGGTGCAGGTCACTGCCTCCCACTGAAGCCCCAACCCACTTCGGAAGCTGTGGAAGTCTTGGTCCTCACTTAGAGCCTCAGGTGCTGCTGTTTCTGCAGAGGGATGCACAGGGCCTGCTTAGCTCCTGGGGTGAGGCCGTGGGCTGCCTCCGGAGCACAGTGGAGCTCAAGCCACCTCCTAGGGCCACAAAATCCAGCTTCTCCCTGCCCTGGCACCGTGGGCACCAGGGGCACTGTGGACTGTGATAAGAAGCCACGGGCAGTGACAACTTCATGGTCCATGACAAGCCGGTCACTTCTCTCTAACATCCCATTTTCAGACTCGGCCCAAAGCAGTTTTTAGTTTTACCTTTCAGGAGGTTTCCCTCAGCCTCAGCCCGGGCCATGTCATGGTCATGGTGGCAGTGTCATGCTCTGCCTCCCACTCCCAGTGAGACTGCAGCTCTGGCACGGCCTTGCCGTGTGTGAACTTGCATGACAAGTATCCTGGGGTGTTGGTTTCATAGAGCTGCCACACACAGGGTGGCTTAAGCCGGTAGAGGAAGTTCGTTCTCCCAGAGAGGCAGGTGCCAGCAGGACCTCTCAGAGGCTCAGGGTGGGATCTGCTCATGCTCTCTCCTGGCCATGGCCCTTGGTGTTCCTGGCCCTGGCCCTCCAGCCTTGCCTCCCTTCCACATCTGTCTGAATGACCTTTTCCTGTGAGGACCAGGCAGGCCTGGGGCCCACCCTAATCAGTGAGACTGGATGCAATTTTATCTGCAAAGACTTTTCCTGTTACAAGCGCAGGTTCAGGGTAGGCCTGACTCCTTGTGGGAGAGGACGCCAGCCAACTGGGTTCTGGAGAGCTTTGGGCTCTGGCTTCCTGAAGTGTGAAGTCGTTATGAGGTGCTTACTCATGAAGACACCATTTCATCCTGAAGATCAGGAGCCCCAGAAGTAGGAGAGCCTGGGGGTAGGGACTGTCCTCTTCCCCACCATCTGGGTCTTATGAAGGCTCCACTCTTGCTGTGTGAGCGAGGCTGAAGCAAAGTACAGAGCTGGCAGGGACAGGGTCTCAAGGACCTATCTGCTAAACTCACCACTTGGCTTGGATACAAAAGGGTCGGCACAGGCGAGGCTGTGGGGAGAAAGGATCCCTGCTACACTGTCGGCTGGACTGTAAACCAGGACAATCACTGTGGAAATCAGCATGGAGATCCAGAAGCTAAAACTAGACATCCCGTGCAGCCCAGCTCTTCCCTCGGGGGTGTTTCCTGAGAGTTAAGGACATCCCATTACGGTGACCCGTGCACACCTGTGTTACAGCAGCCCACCTTGCAACAGCGGAATCTGGGCACGCCATACACGCCCACCAGCAGATGAGGGTAAAGAAAACGTGGCGTTTACACACAGTGGAGCGCCACTCTGCCGCACAGGATAAACTTGAGTCACTGCAGGAAAACGGATGTACCTTGAGACCATAATGTCGAGTGAAGTAAATCAGACACATAGACTTAAATGCTGCATGGTGTCTCTTTTATAAGAAACGCAAAGTATACATAAATTAAAGAGCAAAATGAAAGATAGATGATGGGCAACAGAGACACAAATCTTTCTCAAATGGGAAGTGGACCAAAAGGTGGAGGAAGGGGGAGGAAAGAGAGGAGAGGGGACATAAAAAGAGTGGAGATGTGCTATGCACGAGCACCAACTCCACCAGGAGCGCAGGCGTTATGTGCTGCAACACGGACCAGTGCGAGATTGAAAAGGATCAGCACAGTAAGCATCTACTGCTTGTTCGCCGTTGCTGAATGACAGCCAGGTGACAAAAATACCCTAGTGTCCACTCGCCAGGATAAGAAAACATTACGCGTTTTACTTTCAAATGATAATAAATATTTCATAGGTTTATTATGAGACAAGAAAGCCTGTGGGTTTTCATCATGAAGAAAGTAGAATAATTTAAAGAATAAAGTTAAGAGTCAAAGTAGCATTTGGTTGGATTTAATCTTGTGCCAAATTGAAAAAGTTTTAGAGAAATAGTCTAGGATAGACATGTTTTGAGGAGAAAGATGTGGCAGATGCTTATACTGAGTACCTTCTGTTTCTATCTATTTTTATTTTCAGAATTTTTTTTGGATACAGGGTCTTGCTTTATTGTTTATGCTGGCTTTGGACTCACTGTGTTAGCCCCAGGCTGGCCTTGGACTCATGGGAATTCTCCCACCTCCACCTCCTGAGTGCTGGGATTATAGGCACGTGCACCATGCCTGGCCAGAATTTTAATTTTTAAATTAAATTTTAAAGTCAACATGTTTTTGCTGGGGGTTTAGCTCCGTGGTTCCAGCACCTGCCTCGCAAGTGCAAGGACCTGAGTTCGTTCCCCAGTACCAA